GGATGATTGGGCTCGTTGTATAGTAGTATTGTAGTCTAATGATTGATTGGGTCGGGGGTAATACAACCTGATGATTGTGGGCCTGAAGGCATTCCGGTATGATGACTGGTTGGGCCTAGCATGCATGATTGTATATGTTATATGTTGTGTGGTGGTACGTTGGGGAAAATCACTAGGCTTTGGCTTTTAGTTTCAATTTTATGCTTCAGGTACTTCAGATGACCATGGGAAAGCAAAGGCGTGATTGTGCACATCCTCTTGGTTTTGATTTTGAGAACAACGTTTTGATTCAAACATTCCTTAAATGGTATTGGATCCTTTCTTCATCATTCAAAAAACCAAACAAATACATATCATTCAAAAAACCAAACAAATACATATAACAAATAAAAAAAGTATTACACGATTAATAATATAAAATCAATCATGTGCTTGAATATATTTATAAACAATAAACTAATTAAGGAAAAATTTATTTGCACTTGTCGTTTGACGTAGGTAAACGGTTAGTGTGTGTGTATATATATAAAGATTACAATTAGGGGAGTCACGATTAATACTTGAAGATGTAGTTTCATAATGTACACAATAGTTTTGATAAGGAAGCAAGAACATTGATTATCTTCTTCGTGATGAATTGATGATGGAATACAATATTATTCCTTAAGGTGAAGTAATAAACGATAATGAAGAAAAGAAAACAATGATGTTAAAACGATAATGGAGGGAAGAAATGTTATTGTGGACGATATATTACCAATTGAAAACCAAATCGAGTATAACTATTAAGTTAAAATGATATATTTTAGAGGTTTAGTATCAAAGTTTACGTGAGGTTATAATATATATATATATATATATATATATATATATATATATATATATATGAAAAAGTTTATTAGAGAACCATTATTATTCAAGAAACCAATCCAAAGTGTCGGAATTTAAAGCGATTAACGACAAAAGGAAGGGTTGTAAATTTTTATAATGGACGCACATGTACCGGATTATAACAAAACTCACTTCCTTTTTTTCATTTAAATTTTTTTTTAGGCCAAGTTTTTTATCGATTTTTTTTTTTAATATACCGTTGTTCACGATTTTTCGTACTCTTTCCATAGAGATCCATGATAATATATAAAAAACGATTTTTTTTTCGAAAAAAACCCACTTAATTTTCTTATTTTTTTTCAATATTTAAGCTTTTTTATAAAAAAAAACTAATTATACCAAAAATATTAATTTTTTGTACTGTATTAATAAACATCAACAACGATTAAAAAAAAAACAAAACAAAAACAAAAAAACTCGAACAATGTTGATTCACACTGTGAATCTAAATTGTAAATATTTCAATTTTTAACATTCACAATATGAAAAATCTCGAATAGTTCAGATTCATATTATGAATGTAAGAAGGTTCACAACAAAAAAAAAAAAAAAAAAAAAAAAAAAAAAAAAAACTTGATCAGTGTAGATTCACATTGTGAAAAAGCTCCGATTAGTTCAGATTCACACTGTGAATCTGATTTATTATTATACATATTGTGAATCTGAGGAGGTTTACAATGTGAATCTAAACATATTTACAATATGAATCTGAACTGAAGTATCGTTTTTTTTAATATGAATATGAATCTATGTTTAAAAAGTACAAAAAATATGAATTTTGATATATTTATTATTTTTTTCTATAAAAATAAACCTTAACCTTTTTCATTAAAGAAAATGAAGTGGATTTTTTTCGAAAAAAAAAGTTCGTTTTTTATATATCATCATGGATCTCTATGGAAAAAGAACGAAAAATCGTGAACAACGGTATATTAGGGTTTTTTTTTTTTTTTTTTGATAAAAAACATGGCCTATAAAAAATTAAAACGAAAAAAAGTGGTGGGTTTTTTTGTATATGTTGGATTTTTTGGTATAATCCGGTGTGTGTGCGTCCAATGTAAAAGTTTACATCTATTTTCTTGGCCATTGATCTTTATGATTTTCGATGCTCACGATTGGTTCCTTGGTTAATTATAGTTCTCTTATATATATATATATATATATATATATATATATATATATATATATATATATGTGTGTGTGTGTGTGTGTGTGTGTGTGTGTGTTCAGGTTCATTTGAAATCATTCTAATTTTGTGAGACCGTGAAACCAAATCTAAAAATAATTTAAAAATGCAAAATAAATGGAAAAAATTCAAAAAAAAAATTTTAAAATATTATTTTTGGAACTTGAATTAACTAAAAAAAAATTAAAAACAAATCCCGTTTTTTTTTAAAAAATACGTGAAATATTCTAATAGAATATATTACACTGTACATATTCTAAAAAGTAATTTTAAAATGCAAAAAAAAAAAAAAAAAAAAAAAAAAAAAAAAAAAGGAAAAGGAAAAATCTAAAAATTCTTTTTTTTGAATATTATTTTCGAAACTTGAATTAACCAAAAAAAATAAAAAATAAAAAATAAAAAAAAAATCGTTTTTTTTTAAAATACGTGAAATATTCTAATAGAATATTACATTGTACATATTATAAAAAATATTTTTAAAATTCAAAATAAATGGAAAAATCCAAATATTTTTTTTTAAATATTATTTTCGGCACTTGAATTAACTAAAAATAATAATAAAAAAATACGTCTCACGGTCTCACAAAATTAGAACATAACCCTATATATATACTAGCCGTTTACCCGCGCCACGTGACGGATATGATAATGGTGGTTGAATGTTGAAAGATGAACTAAACCCTAGAAATGAAAACGTCAGCGATATATATCCAAGATTTATGAACAGAAATTGCGAGATTTGGGGAAATACGGAGAAACCGGGTCAAAATAGCCTAAGAATAGGGAATAAGAAATTTGACATTTTCAAGTGTTGACCATATGTATTCTACTGTTTTTGTAATGCATAAATTGATTGTACAAATACATTGTATGTTTGTACGACTTAAAATTCAGCATTTGACCAAAAATGATTTATAAGGTATTTAAGATATATATATATATATATATATATATATATATATATATATATATATATATATATATATATATATATATATATATATATATATATATATATATATTAGAGTATTAATATTATAAATCTGTACAGAATTTATATCGTAAAAGCAAAAAAACTTGTAAAAATGACACAAATTAACAGATTAATTTCACAAAATTTAAGATCATAAATTCACATTACATCGTAATTCCTAACATGCTAACAAATTAACTAATAACCCATATTCAAAAACACATTTTAGTGAAACTTATCACGTAATTAATTGCCAATTTCACAATAATTAGACAAAATTGAAAACCCATGACTAAAAACGTCTACTCAGACAAACTAAAATGGTTCCACCGGTTTGCTTCCAAATTTGATAAAAACACAAATTGGTCCAAATATGCACAACATCAAAGAAATAAACCAAAACAGAAAGAGCGATGAAGAATGAAAACAACGGCTTTTTTACTTTCTAATTAGGTTTTATATATGGTTTATTGGGTATCTGGGTTTATTATAACCAAAAATTGGGCTAATTATATCAATAACAATAATAATATAGAAGTAACCCATTATAGATGAAACTGGAATAGCGGATACTTCAGCGCTGATTGAGTTAGCCCATTATAGGTCATGCATAGGTCTTCTGTTCACCTCCACCTAGAGCCGAAGGCTATACCCATATATGCATTAGTAATCACTTAATCACAATACACTAGAAAGTAAAAAGGTCATATTTGAAGAAGAGTACAAAATTTTGAATAGACATGAGAATTCCATCAACCTCAAAACATATGAAAACTAGAAAGAAAAATTATCTTAGCAAAAGTTTCAGATACTGTCTGTATCTGCTCAAACATACAACTATCATCTCTCTCATTTCATGCTGCTTTAAACACCAACAGGAACAGACATTGGAATAGGCTCATCAGCAATCACAAGTGGTGGCCTGTATTCCTCCACCTCTTTTGGTGGATGGACAACAACATCATCCTTAGGCATGTGAATTATAACATTATCAGGTAAAGGTGTCTTTGGCCCAAGCTTTCCAGTAGGATCCCAGTCAAGCATGATCTTCACTTTGATACCAAGAACACCCTGTCAACAACACAAACACAATAATTACTACAACTTATTTAATGGTATCTACTATGTAACGTATATGACAAATCACAAGGGTATCCATGTCTTTTGCAGTCTCTTACCTGTCTCAAAAGCACGTGTCTTACTGCAGAGTCAATGTATTCCTTCACAGGTTGACCAGATGACACCATGTATCCATCTTTGAACTTCATTGATTTCGCACGCTGAGCCCTAAGTTTCCCACTCACAATCACCTGAAAGTGGTCGATTGTGTTAAAACTGAAACTATTAAACTAACAAAAAAGTTTACTTACCTCACAACCCTTTGCCCCATTTTCCATCACAAATCTCAGAACACCATAGCAAGCCCTGAAAACAGTTGAATTAGCTTATGAGAAACAGAGATGAAGCATAAGTGGAAGAAGTTTGAAACTTTATAATGTGCACAAACCTGCGGACAGCAAGGCCTCCAAGAAGCTTGTAACGCAATGATTCAGCCTGGGCAATGGCACAAAGCCCTCTGTTGTTAACTCTTTCAGCATAAAGCTCCACACTGTTTTCTGGGAACTTGAATCGCTTCTGAACAAGTGAGGTCAACTCCCTTATTCTTCTTCCTTTCTCGCCTGAAAAATTAGGTTCACTAAGCATATATGGATCCTGTAAATGTGCAAATAGATTAAAAGTAATGTGATTACAACTTTACCAAGAACGTTTTGAGTACGAGTGGCTCTGATGATGATCTCTGTGCGCATTGGGGTAACCCTAACCTCAACACCAGAGTAACCATCCTCTGCAAGTTCCCTTGTTAGGACCTCATTCAGTTCAGCAAAGAACACACCATCAGCTACAAACTGGTTTACGAAAACAGATCACTCAAAAATCTACGAAAAATATATACAAATTCAACTTCTGACAGTGATTAATGAGAGCTACCTTTCGCTTTTTGCTCAATTGGGTTGCCATTTTCGTTGGTAGTGTAAATGGGATGAAGAAAACTCAGGTCTCCTTGCAAAATCCTGTTGAAAATACAAATTACAATGAATTTACGGTTAAAAACTTAGGGTTTACTAATGTATTCATCAGATTGACGCCTACCTACGTAGGTACAAATCTAATTTAGTTTCTATCGATTTGTAGGGTAAATCAAGCTTCCACTATAAAGGAAGGTAATTTTGTATACCTATGTGTAGCACTAGTTCATTGGGTAATTTTACAGAAAACTTGGCTTTCACCTAAACGTAATGTAATCTTCACTACCAGCAAAAATTAATCAAATCAGAATAAGAAACAATAAAGGAAGCGAAACCTGAAAAACCTAGATCGGAGAGAAAAATGACACAAGGAACACAAAATACTCACCACAATCGCTGTTCTGCTGCTGCTGCTGGCGACGTCGCATCGAGAATGCAATTACATTGATGAAACGCTTATATAATTAGGGTATTCAATGGAACAGGCTTTAAGCCCAAACTGAAGTGGGCTCCTATTTTCGAACCCATTTGGAAAAATAGAAATTTTATTTTTCTATCAGTTTTTTTTTCTTAATTAACTTTTTTACTTGATAATCGTTACTTGAAAATCATAACTTTGGTTTCGGATGCTTTTTTTCTTAACCTATGTAAAAGTAGATAACTTAACACTCTTATATATAATACTAAAATTAGATGTATAACGTGGCGTTGTGTGAAAATAAAATTGTTTGGTTATATTTACATCTAATCTAATCTAATAAATAAATAAATAGACAAATAAATCTAATAAATAAATAGACAAATAAGGTGTCGTTCGTTTTTCGAAGCAAAAATGTTTGAAGTCTACAGACCACCTTTACAACCCTATGTAGCATAAGAGAATAACCAAATGGCTGCAACGTATTATAAAAGGTTTGTTTGTTTTTTAACCTCTGCAGACTACTGCAATAATTTAAATTAAGACGTAAAGAGGTTTGAAGCAAATTGTCAAGTGTTGCGTGTATGTTGCGTGGCGCAACAATAAATTGTTAGAAGATGTTTTTTAGAAAAAACAAACATAACCTAAATCTTGATACATTACACATCTTCGAAGCATATCATCTAAATAGCGTTTGTATTAATCGTTCACAAGCTTCAGTAAGACCTATTTAGGATTAGGATTTGGATTTCAAAACCCATGATACACCATATTATACTTTCTTCTTTCAATCATGGAGGATCACACACACACAAACTCTCTCTCTCTCTCTCTATATATATATATATATATATGTGTGTGTGTGTGTGTGTGTGTTTGTGTGTGTAATGAAATTGATATATTAGTTTTTATGATGATTCATTTCCTAACACGAAAACACCTAAATATGATTTAGGCATAACGACTTAATGAGATAACAGACTATCTTATCATTTTAAAAATAAAATCTAACTAAAAGTTTTCAGAAGGTAACAAACTTTTATTTTTATTTGTAAATGTCCATTGTAGTTTGGGAAACCCTACCATTCCATGTTAAAATGGGTAGAAAAAAACTATCTAAATCGTTTTAAAAATACAATCGTACTAAACTTTTTTAAAATGTAACAAACTTTTATTTTTATTTTTAAATAACCATCGTAGTCAATGTTACAATGGTTTTTAAAAACAAAAATATAAGTTTGTTATTTAGACAATGTTTATTTAGTTGAATATTAATTTAAAAAAAAAATTAAGATAATTTGTTATCTATTTATGTCATAAACTAGAGGTGATTATCCGTTCAAATCCATTGAATATCAATGGAACCAATTCAAATTCAGTTATTCTTTGGATGTTAAATTTGACGGCAGATCCAGTACCATTCGTTATATGCAATTGAACCAATCCAATTATATATTGGATTGGATTGGTTTTATCCATTATTCAATCAACTCTGATACAATTTTTATATAATAACATTCAAATATGATTATGATAAGTAAAACTAAAACCATACACAATTGACAATTCTAAATAAGACTAGTAAATGATACTTCAATTTAAATGACCAAAGTTCAAAGTTCGATCAAAATATTGTAGAAAAAGTCATTTAACTTTTGAAGTTCAATTGGATGGTGAATGGATATCTATTAAATAATATTAGTTAGATATTACGATTGGATGATAATTAATTATTTATTGGATGATAATATTGAATATCCAGTTTGGTGAACGTGAGATTGGTTTGATTACCGATTGGATTTTATTGAATTATCAAAAATTGATCTAGTCCACTTGGATTTTAAAATTTTGAAACATATCCAGTAAAATTGTGATTAGATATCCAATATAGTCGATGTTTGTAACTAAATTGATTTGTTCGAATTGGATTGGTATCTTAAACCCAATAAGAATTGAAAGCGTTTCAAAGATTTATCACCATAAAAATATAATTAAATATTATAATTTTGATCTCGCAAAACTAATTATATTTTAGAATTTACCACCATATAAAGATAGTCATACCTAACACACAAAATATTGGAGATTCTCTTCGAGAATTTGCTTCATATCTAAAACTTTTCGTTGTCTGATATTGGATTGCAGAATCGATAGCACGTAAAAAGTTACTGATTTATATATATATATATATATATATATATATATATATATATATATATATATATATATATATATATATATATATATATCAATTGTCAACTCATATACATAATGGAACCAAGTTTATAAGTCGTTGACCAATCATGTTTCAAATTAACAAAACTATACAAAAAAATAAAAATGTTATACAATAACATTCTACAAACCATTTTGCATACAATCATGTATTCATCTATTTTCCCAATTACATTGATTGTAAAATGTCATAACTCATTAACTAACCTAAAACAAATGACACATAACATTCATCGCTATTATTTAACCTCTATCACCTCGCGTAATATAACATTTAACATGTATCATTTATATATATGTAACTCCAAAACTGCATTGAAAACATGTACTACATCCAAAGAAAAAGCACAACATCCAACCATCCAAATTCGAAAACCACTTTAAACCGGATCCTATCTCTTTCTCTCATCCTGTATAGACTGAAAAATGCGGGCCACCGACTCATTCGCCAACTGTGCATTACGAGGTACAACTCTTATAACACGACTCCCCTCCCCCTCAACTGTTGGAGAACACATGAGGAAAAAAGGAAGGACATATGGTTTTTCTAATCTATCACTTGAAAAACTACTTGCATTACTCACTTGTACCTCACTATTATTGTTGCACGCATCTACTGACTTGTACCTTGTTTGGGGGTGGTTCATATTCATATCCTCACCACCATATCCAAATGTGTTAATTTCTGTCATGCCATAAGGCGGGAAGTAACCATGGGCCGGTGGAGGAACGAACCCGGTAGGCCATTGGTAATGAGGCTGTTGTGGAACCCCATGGTTGACCATGTTTTGACCTGATATCAACATATATGTCCATATATTTTAGATTTTTTTTTTAATAAAAAGTAAAGATAAGATTTTTTTTTTATAAATACATAGTTACCAAACATGGGTGGTGGTGCTCCAGGGTAATAAGGTTTGTAAATAAGTCCTTCAGAGGGGGACATAACGGGAATTAGCCATTGATGTCCAGGTGGATGATGTTGATGAGTCAGGCCCCACGGACACATTCTTGGGTCAGATGGTGGTAACGATTGGTACCCTGAAAACATGGCCCTGGGTCCACTGTTGTTTTGGACAAAAGAAAGAGATGTTTGTATGTGCGTCTTCTCAAAATCATTTTCAGCTGAGAATTCCCTCGTGTCCTCCTTTGGGTTTTCATGGTAATCTTTGATGTTTGGTATTATGTGTGTGGATGATTTCAGGACAAAGTCTACAGGAATTGGAGAAACTTTTTGTGGTTTTCCTATGAATGCTTCATCTTCGACCATTGGTTGAGGTAATCCTGCAATTAGTTTCTGAACCTATTGGCATTATATTATATGGTTAACTTTCTGACCAAAAGTCAAAACCCTCAACACTGTTAAATTGCTAATGTATGCGTATATGATCGTATGTATGTACCTTTATCAACCTATGTAGCTCAAACAGTTGAACAACAAATAATCTTTGTTGGCTGCAAATACCACACAATACAAAAAAGCAAAACTCAATAGATGAATGTAATTCAAATTCCATCTTGAAAGGTATTTTGACATGTTTATACGATATCCATGATTTTTCTGTAAATGTAATTTAACAATACATGTGTATATAATATATATATATATATATATATATATATATATATATATATATATATATATATATATATATATATATATTCAAATCTTTAACGTCAAGATAAAGGGATACTTTTTTTCCATTGTTTCATATGTACATGTAGAACCTTAACATGTCCAGTACATCAAAGAGAAAACAAACAAAACCTAGATGATCTTATTTTCCGAAGATCCAAATAACAAACAAGAATAGGGAAAGGGAAAGAAAAAGAAAAGCACTTACTTGACTATAGCTCTTCTTGCCTTCCAAAAATGTTTCTGGCCAATAACTCCAACAACATCATCGGGAGAAATATCAACTCCAGATACATAATCAACCATTGAAGTCTCAGAGACAACATCACCATTAATAAGATCATTAGGAATTCTCAACACTTCTTGTTGAACATCCCTTATGGGCAACAATGAATTCCCATATCCCACAGTCCTAATAGTCTCAATTAAGACACTATTATTATTGTCTGCTTCCCGTGAATTCCCATTACGTTGTAATCTGATAGAATTATTTAAAGCATTTTTGTGATCAAAACTTGAAGAACCATTTGCTTCCTTTAATTGAATTGGTTTGGATGATTGATTTAAGGCGGCTTTGGGTAGGTCTTGAGAGTTATTTCTTTGGATGTTTGTGAAACGACATGAAAAGGCTGAACTGGATGGGGAGAGGCCTTCATTGTTTTTGTTTTGATGATTCCCATTACAATCAGGGTTTATTCCAGATTGTTGAACAAAGATAGGGACCCTAAAGTCATCATCTTCTTGTTTCTTTTTCTGCTCTCGTTGCACAAGTTGATTGTTTGAGTCAGAATACCGATTCATGTTAATTTTATCAGCTACATGTGGCAAAGGAGTTTGATAAAGTGGGAAAAACGAACCCCTTCCACTCATTTCACCCTACAATCATGCAATAATCACTTAGATTAGACTATTAAAGAGATGTTATAAGTTATGGAGTTATTTTTAACTCACTTGGGAAGAAGATGATGGTGGCAGAGGATAATTGACGGTTGAAGTGGGTTTAAATGGAAACAATTCGCCACCGCTAAGCCTTTGTGAGGGTATAGTAAGTTGTTCATATAAAGCCATCTTGTTCCTCGGAGGAGCTCGTGGTCCTCCTTTTTCGGTATCATTTACATGGAGTCTTGGAAACATGGGGCCCTTATTGTTCTCATCTACCCCCCTCTTCATCTTCCTCTTCACCCTTTGAGAATTCAACAATATAAGATCAAAAAAACCATGAAAAGATCAGCTAATTAGCATCATCTGCTCTTATCTACTTCTTTTGTGTCGAGAAGTCAAAAACAGGTGGTATGCAACTCGAAAAATTGATACTAGTTTCAAATTTTCTTGCAGAAATATTTGTCAGTTGAATCGGTCTTTTTATAAGCAGTGTAACAAACACGATAAAGTTTGTGTAAATTTTGCATTGAAATGCTAATCGGTTTTGAATTTGACATTTACCACATTTGATATGAAGAAATCATTGCAATTTGAGAAAATCAGTTACCTTAATTCTTAGAACCCTAGAAAGATGGTCATCTTCGACTTTTTTTCCCCCAATTCGAGTAAACGCCAACTTAAAACCAACCCGAATTATTCGACAAAAAAGGAAGCAAAGCAAACCTACTTATGGGAAGCAGAATCTTCAATGCCCAATATGGAGAAATCAGGTTTTACCCCAAAATCAAGAAATTCGGATCATACCTAATAATAGAAATAGTGATAGTTGATCAAAGCAGACATGATGCCAAAAACAAGGGATGAATATTGACCTTGTAAATCAAGAAGGTGGGAGGGTATGGGTTATGGATTTTTCAATTGTTTGCTGAGGAAAGCATAAAATTCTAGAGACAAGAAAGGAAGCAAAGCAAACCCACTTATGGGAAGCAGAATCTTCAATGCCCAATATGGCGAAATCAGGTTTTACCCCAAAATCAAGAAATTCGAACCATACCCAATAATAGAAATAGTGATAGTTGATCAAAGCAGACACGATGCTAAAAACAAGGGATGAATATTGACCTTGTAAATCAAGAAGGTGGGAGGGTATGGGTTTTGGCTTTTTCAATTGTTTGCTGAGGAAAGCATAAAATTCTAGAGACAAGAAACAGGTGTTACAGGAATGGATGTGGGAAGCAGACCCACATTCTTTTGGATATACCAGAACCACAATATACTATTATTTTGTAGATAGGTAACTGATTTTTCCATAACTTTTTTTTATCAATCCACTGAATTTTAAAAGTAATTGAAATTTTTGCCCTTAAATATTAATGGGATAAAGATCACAGAGATTTGTTTCTTTAAACTAAACATGGCAATCATGCCCTTCGTATCAACCAACATAACTCAAAAACCTCTAAAATCCATCGGGCAATCTTTGGATTAACTTTGTCTTAATCGTTATATATATATATATATATATATATATATATATATATATATATATATATATATATATATGCATTCAATGATATTAATTTTGTATTTGCATTACGAAGTTATGTACTATAAAAATAAGATCACACCCAATTTAATCAATCAAACACATAAATCAAAGGCAATACCTAGCTAAACCTGACTGCTTCTTCATCTGTTTCTCTTTCTTCGTATTTTCATCATTGGAAGAAGACAATTAAGAATAAGAATACTAAGATGATGGAGACAGAAAAGATACTCGTTGGTCGATGGAGAAGATGTGGTGAGGTCGTTGGCGGTGGTGAGTGATTTATGTGGCATTAGAAGTGTAGATATGTGCGTAGCTATGAGTAAGTTCACTCTTCTTACCCATTTTTAAATGCATGTCGATCTAGTTCTCTTTAGTTTATTTTAAGAGTGCAGACCTGTAACTCCCCGACTCTCAGGTGATAATTTGATGGCTTTAATTTTCATAATTTCAAGGTCTACTTGACGGGTTGGATCCCTTGACTCGTCGAGTAGAAGTGGTATGGGCCACGTGTTTAAGTGACCTACTCACCGAGTCCAAGATAAGACTTGACGAGTAGGAGCTGTAGGATGAAACCCTAATTTTTGGGGTTTTGCACCCCATTTAAAGAATCATAAGCCTCCTCCAGCCCCCTTACAACCTATTGAGAGTTCAGCAAACCCTAATCCACGTGTGTGCTTCATTCTTGAGTGTTTTAAGCTTTTGAAGGTGGATCTTTGTAAGAAGAGCTTGGAGAGCAGGTGGCTAGAAGCAAGGAACGTGTGGGGATCTGATATCTACCTCAATTAGCATCTTTTGGAAGGTATCAAGTCGTTACCTTGACCGCATTTCATTCTAGATCTCATTTAATTAAATATTAGGGTTTTTTCTAGCATAATAAGAAGCTATTCTTGGGTATGAGCTAAGATCTGAAGTTGTAACTTTAGATCTAAACTCTCTTGGTCTCTAAGTCCATAAAGCTCCCAGTTTTAGCAAGTATGAACCTCTCCTTAAGTGTAAAACTCCATTACAAGCTTGGTTTTGACATTATAAGACTTTAGAGCCTTGCATGCACGTAAAGTTTGCAACTTTACGTGATACACATGTCGTGGGAAGCTGGATCTGCAATATGGAACCTTAAAATGGCTTAAAAAGCATCTGAATGGATAATGGACTGAAGGGGCTCGGCGAGTTGCATGGTCAACTCGATGAGTCCGATGAAGATTGTCGTGCAAGGACTTCTGCATGGACTCAGCGATTCAACTTGGGTTTTCTCGACATTTGTACACGCTTGGACATTTGGAATCGACATTTGTCAACTTATTATTATTATTATTATTATTATTATTATTATTATTATTATTATTAAAAGAAGAATAAGAAGAAGAGGAAAACTACTATCGGAAAATGGGGTGTTACATCATCACTTATATTTTCTTATGAAAATATTAATATTTTATTAATTTACTTTTCCTTTAAAATAAAAAAACAAATAGAGGAAAAGTAATGTAACGTCCCGAAATATGACCCAAAATTTTCATTTTTAAATTCGGTAAAACAATATTCCAAAATCATCATCAATACAATCCAAGTGAAAATAAGTGTATCCAACATCATAACAATCAAAGTATATCACAAAAGCGAAACTACACGGTGTGTGTGATGTAGTCATCCTGAGCTCTTCCCTCTGAAACCAGAAGTACCTGAAACATAAATGGAAATTCGTAAGCACAAAGCTTAGTGAGTTCCCTAAACTACCCTATAGTATACATAATAAATAACATATTGGGCCCCCGCCGTACATCAAGTCGCACCCTCCATCGGGCCTCACCCGACATCGAGCCCGCTCGGTAAACATATCTGTTATTCTTAGGCCCCACCTGACATCAGTCACCGTCCACTATACACATACAATATATATCACATAATCATGCTAACACATACAATGATCATAAACAATAGCATATGTTTCATTCATCGTGCCCCGACCGGTTTACATATCAACACATAACACATGTAAGGATCATGCAGACTTCTAGCATCCTAACATAAACAATAAGGACCGGCATTGGTGCCTTAAACCCACTAAACCCAGAGAGGAAACTGACCTCGACTAATGAATCTCACTGAAAATCCTTGGCTTATGTTCCGACGAATCCCCGAGCCATCCATACAAAATAACACCCAATTAACATTTGCGTCCCAATCCATATCCAACAATCCATACTTGGGGTAAAAATACCATTTTACCCCTCACTTAGTTTGGTCCAAATCTAAGGCCCAAACCTATAGTCCAAAAGACCCAAAATCAATTAATCATCCAAGGCTCACTTATGGCCCAATTTTCCAAATTGAACCCAAAACCTCACATGGGCCTTAATTTAAAGCAAAATAATTTATTCTAGTCCAAAACACTCGTCTTCAGATGGTCCAATAAGACTCGATGCACCAAAGCCCAAAGGAATGGCCCATCCGAGGGACAAAGAATGTGAAGCCTAATATACTGAGTACGTAGGACGTACTCAGCACGTACGTGCAACGTACTCGTTTGAGGGCTTGTACGTTAAGCTTACCTGCTTGTACGCCCAACGTACTCACCCATTCAACCCAAACTCGAGTAAAGTGCTTAATACTTAATACCAAATGTCTAAACCACATATCTAAGTCTTAATAAGCATCTAGAACCATAAAGTCACTGACTTGGTGACTTTGCATGCCCTAAAAGAACCCAAATTCAAGATATAGCACTTTAGTTCCACTTAATGGACATACTCATGCATGGGTGATTCTAAACTCTAAAGGTGCCAACTTTATGGGCCTTGAACCTCATAAACACTCAGAGTAGCAACTTAAAGCTCCTAGAGTGGTATCAAACCTATAACAACGTAAATTTTCAAACCAAAATTTTCATTTTTGAAACACATAAAAACTCATATTATATTTCTCAAAAGCATAATTGTTTCAAGTGTCAACAAAAATCCTCATAAAAATGTCACTATCCCAGAATCCACATAGTCTCGAATCGGTGTGTATAATCAAGTCGGCGCCTTCCCCGATCCTGAGAAGTACCTGAAACACATATCACACAACACGGTAAACACAAAGCTTAGTGAGTTCCCCAAAATACTGCATACATAAATAATAAGCCTCTCATGACTATAACTCGGCATGGACCCTCCAATATCATGTGTCTCGGTGTGGACCCTCCAATCATGTGTCTCAGTGAAGAACCTCCGGTCTCACAGATCAGGTCGGACCCTCCGATCCTGTATCTTAGTGAAGACCCTCCAGTCTCCCAACTCGATTTGGACCCTCCAGTCTGATCTCAGTAAAACACGGAATAACATAGCATATATCACAAAGACAGAAATGTACAATATCACATAACTCAATATAAGCACATAGGACCCTCCGGTCAATAACTCAAATAAGACCCTCCGGTCAGTCGGTATTACCACTCAGATAAGTATAGTGAGAAGAATCACCTCGTAAGAAATCGGATAACCTCGAACTAAAATCATTGGTCTAGCCTCCGCCTAACACAAATGATAATTATTTCTAATTTAATAACGTCTCTCAAGGAAGTTAGAGTAATCCTTCTACAAAACTAACAAAAGGATAAAAGACCAAATTAGCCTTCCATGGCCTTGATAGTCCACAAATTGACCAAACCCTAAAAGTCAACGACAGCGCGTACACTGCGCATACAGGACATCTATGCTAGGCGTACTCTATCGTCGTGTATGCATCAGGAATTCTCAAC